TATTTTTTATGTTTTTTGTTTTCGTTTTAAATACATGAATTAATTTCTACATTGGCAAATACTTTGCATTGGAAGCCAAATCCCATTACTAAATATTTTCCAGAATACGTAAATTTGTGGAAATACATTCATAGAAGAGGCACACTATTTTTTATGCATACTATGTAATTGCATATTCCGAAAGAAAAATTGAATTGCCTGACACTCGATTTGTATTAATTATCTGTTTTCATGGCAAATTGTTTCTACATACATACATTCATTTACTTTATGCATAAACTTCCAGTTAAAAACTATTCGTTGTTTTTAGTGCTTGTATTTATTTTTTTTTTTTTAATTTTCTACTGTACAAAAGATACTTTGGAAATTTGCTGTCTTCCCATTTGCGTCTTCGCCGCGTTATTTATCGAGATTTCTTCCATACATCTAACATAATTTCTTCATTTGTTATTTTTCTTAAAAGGAAAGCATTCCAGATCATTCGTTTTCGTTGAATTAATTTATTTTCGTTTTTTTTTTTTTATTTAAACTTTTTCGGAACATTTACATGTAATATTAGTAAACTCAAACTTTGCTTAATTATTTTTAAGGTTGTAAATACGTATAAATTTACATTAAACGTCGCATTTTTAATATCCGAAACAACGAATCCATTTACACACGAATAGCCCATAATTGATGAATAGTAAGAAAGGCGTTAAAAATATATTTTAAATTAAATTTATTTAAAAAGCAGTAATTCATTTATCGGCGTTCATTTGCTCGTTGCATTTTTAATTTTATGCTCGTAAGTTGTAGCAATTAATTATTTGAATTAGTGAATTTTTTTTATAATTTTTAGTTAATGTAAATTATTACTGTTAACGGTAGGCTTTAGCCTTATTTGCTACCTGCTGTTATTTTTATTACTATTACAATCATTAAATATTCATTATTAGTACTACTATTGAAACTAAGTTTTTTATTAATTTAATACATATATGTTTAAGTTTGTAATTGGTACAAAATTTTTTTAATAAAAAAAATCCACAACTTGGCATTTACGACTTGTAAACACAAGATTGCATTTTTTCATACATTCTTCGTCAGAGATAGCGGCGATGCAACATAAGTAGTGTTGATTTTTTTTTTTTATAATAATTTAATCAACATGCGCCAGTGCACATGCTATACCGTAAGTACTTCCTAGAATCTTACCACTGCACGAAGTTCACTAATTTCATTATAGATTTCTTTTGATTACGCTCGTATGTATGTGGCTTTATACATATGCATCTGTTAACCCCTCCAAGAAACACCAAAGGTTTTTATCTCACTCTTTATGCAAGCTGCAAAATTCTAAAGCAATCGGTGTGGTAGTAGAAAGGCGTACACGCCTCCATGCATACTTATGTATGTATGAATTAGTGTTTTTATAAGTAAACATTCCTTTACACAACTTTTAAACTAAAATTTAGCGAAAATTTGCAAAACAATCAATTTCTATGCTAACAGATAAACTAAATATTTGTAAGGGTAGTGAAGAGATTTATGTAGACGCAGTGATGAAATACATACATATATACCATTAAGAAATTCACGTGTTTTTTTTTTATTTGACAAGAAATTCTAAAGGTAAGTGGGAAATTGGCAAACGGGAGATATATGTATATCTGTGGACTTTTGACAAAACAACTCCTCTCGAGTGACGTCATTTTGTCTTCAAATCAGTAATTCATTGAGTTCTAGACTGATATTTTTATTTTTAGTCCTTAGTAGGAGTAGTTCAAGATGATGTAATGAAAGTTAAATAAAAATGTAAAATTTTCAAATGGAAGTTCCTTATAAAGATACTCTAAATTGCAACCTACAGAAAGCACAGAGGTTGTTTTGTCAAAGTCAACAGATACATATGTACATTAGAGTACCTCACCAAAAAAAATCGTGGTTTTCCACCAGAATAATAAAATCTATTATGTTTAAAGACTTCCGCCAAATTTCTTCGGAAGAATGATTAGGAAGAGGGTGATTCGTTTCTGTCAGCGGGGCAGATGTCTTCGATGTTCGCATCTACTCGTGCTCTGTACGGATTAATCATACTGCGCCAACCGGATCGGAGCTGAGCCTGCGCAACTCTTGCGTCACGTGGACGTCCAATTTCATGACACGTTGTAGCTGAGTGCGGACCACTTTGCGATGTACATAAGCTATTCAAGCTTGGCAGGAGTCTGCGCGGGAGTACACCAGCCGCGGTGTGTAAATGCTATTCCGATGGTATCGGTGTCTCTTCCCAGTGGTGGAGCGTAGGGCGATGCTCTGGCAGGTTTTTCCCCCTAGGATTACACTAGGGCGGTGTAGTTTGCTACCGGTCGTGCAACAGTTTTGTTCGTGGCGAATAGGGTCTTTTCTCCAATTGCTGTTGTTCCTGCTTCGGAGGTTGTTTTGCTGATTAACGCAGTTAGACCCAATTTATGAGTGATTTACGGACGGGATTTTTGTTCCACCGGTATCAAATTTCTTCGTAAAGCTGGTGAGTAAGGTGGCCATGGACTTTGCGGCGGAGATTTTTTGACTTCGCGCATGGATTAAACAGTTAGCCATACCCAGACCAAAATTTTTATGCGATATCTTTAACATTTGATTTTAGAGACCACCCTAATTTACATAGTACATTAAAAAAAGTACTTGTTTTTGAATTCGGTTAAAATAGAAAAAAAACTGCTATTTTATTATTTTGTCTTCATAATGTATGTATCTTCATACAAATGTATCAATTTCATTAAAAGTAACTGGTCTTAATAAAAACTAATGTATTTTGCATTTTAATTCAAACAGCATTTAAATTTTAACATGAATTTTTAATAGCTTCCGATGCATCCAACATTTGCACACAAACAAAATTTGAGCTTTAAGCTCATGTGCTCAGCCAACAAATGTCAAAAATCGAGCTTTTGTTCTTTGGGCATTCGGCAGTGATGGAAAAGTAGGCATAATAGTGCCGTTTTTGGCACCTTCACATACAAGGGCCCTTTTGGCACAATTCATTCAGTTTTGGCCTAAAATATATATTACAGAACTTTAGCCAGTATGTAACAAATAATCATATCGTCGTTTAAAGTACAAAACCGCGTATCAACAAAATGTAAAACCGCGTATGGGAGGTTGCATAAATTTTTTTCTAGAGAGTAAAAACACTCATTTTTCAAAATCGTTCTCTTTTTTATAAAGCAATCGCATTGCTAGCTAATATATTTCAGGACGAACGGATAGGTATTGAGCCAAGAGCTTGTGTGAGTAAATCCAATTTTTGGTAGGAAATGTCGGTTACGCGGTTTTGTACTTTAAACGGCGATATATTCGAAAAATCACTTAAAGGTTAAAATAAGGGCCATTATATAAAATTAATAAAAATTATTTAATGTAAAGAATAGTCAAAACTGATCAAAATGTCACACTGCTATTATTTCGCACATAAATCTGTATATGTGTAAACATGTCCGAACAGTTATATTTAAGTGTTTTTCACCTTCGTAATTGGAACACAATGTTTTTTTAATATAGTCTTACTCTAATAATTCAATGAATTTCTAAGGTTGGTGTTATGCAGAAATTTTGTTTGGCAAACTGCGTGCAATTGTTGTTGTAGCAAACTCGGAGAGAGCGAGTTTGGCGACTCTCACAGCAAACTAATTTTGTTTGGTCAAACTGCAGCAAATTCGGTGTTGTCATATACAAAAATTTTAAATTGTGCGCGTTATGTACATCTGAAATTCTCATTTCGTGTTGGCAATAGCCATGAAAACCATAATGAACGTGCA